GATGGAGGGGGGTGGAGGACAGGGGGGAACCAGCAGGATGGGGGGGTACTTCCCTCCTCCTGCTGCTTCCTCCTCTGCCTCCCCCCCCGCGAGTATCGCGGGTCCCTCCTTGTGCTTATCTAATTCCCTCTTGAAGCTGTCCATGCTTGTAGCCGCCACCACTTCCTGTGGCAGTGAATTCCATGTGTTAATCACTCTTTGGGTGAAGAAGTCCTTCCTTTTATCCGTTCTAACCCGACGGCTCAGCAATTTCATGGAGTGCCCACGAGTTCTTGTATTGTTAGAAAGGGAGAAAAGTACCTCTTTCTCTACCTGTTCTTTCCCATGCATAATCTTATAAACCTCGATCATGTCACCCCTCAGTCATCGTTTCTCCAAGCTAAAGAGCCCAAGCGCTTTAACCTTTCCTCATAGATCTCACAGAATCACAACTGATCTCCAGACATCAGAGATCAGTTCCCCTCTGCAGCATTAGACCCTGCTGAGGTCTCTCCCCCATGCTCCACCACCGTATCTCCAGGAATTTCTTTACATAGAGTTAGCAGCCCTAGGACTAGATGGACCCTAAGTCTGACCCAGCGAGGACTGTTCTTCTATTCTTGAAAAATCCCCTCACTCTGATCATGGTATACTGCCCTTCCCCATGTCAGGGTTCTGGATACAAGCATGTGGGTACCAATGTTCCCTCTAAGCTGTGGAGTCTTGTGAGCAAAAATTCTACTATGTGAGCCACTGGCATTAAAGTTGCGTGCGAGCGATTTGGCTACTACTGCATAAATGAGTTTGCTCTGGAGCCGTCCCTTCCTGAGCTAAGACAAAAATGTGTGAGCCGGAGGCTAAAAAACTGTGAGCTAGCTCACACTAACTCAGCTTAGAGGGAACACTGGTGGGTACAACAGTTGTCAGTTGAACTCTCCTTCGTTAAAAAACCACAGCTTCTACATTTCGAAATAATGGTTTACTTTGCAGTCACCTTCTTAACGGTATGTCTCCCTCTGCATCATGAAGCGGCATGCTTCGTGCTGTGCGGGCGAAATTTTAGCCTTGCTGCGTCTTCCTGTAGAAGAACAGCAAAGCCATCAATCTAGAGGGCCAGGAGCTGGAGTCTCTTGCACCTCTTCCGAGGATTTGTCACTCGGTATGTGCGCGTTGGCTTGAGAGTTAAAGCTCTGTGGAGCCACGCTGCATCGGTTTCACAGTGATTCTCACTGCTGGTTAGGAAGACAACTCGCCAGGGAGTGTTTGGGACCCCGAGAAAAAGGCTATTCCTTGGCTGTCTTCTGTGATCTAATAATAAAAAAGCAATACAGCACAATAAAAGTGACAGGCGGGAAATGCATGACATACGGTCGACTGTGCAGCCCTGTGGAGGAGCGGCACCGTTTTCCCAGCCTCCTCCCTTGCCTTTAAATTTTCTGTTTTAGGAGGCACTGCAGAACACTTTCATAAAGAACTTTGTGGAAAGCCAGCTGGATTTGGATGTGGGTGAGCTCATGGGGAAACTGCAGGTGTACGGTAAGTATGCACAGATGGGCACGTAGGCCGCACGCATGGGTCCGGTTGGGCCCGCTTCCCCCATCATTGGCCAGTTTGCCCCAATGCTTGTCATTCAGCCCCTTTTATGAAAGGAGCCATTTTTACGAGGACAGCACAGTAGTAGTTGCACTTGCCTATGCAGAATAAGATCTCGTAGTGGTAGGAAATCATGGATGATCTAATCCAGTGATGGCGAACCTTTTAGAGGCCGAGTGCCCAAACTGCGACCCAAAACCCACTTATTTATTGCAAAGTGCCAACACGGCAATTTAACCTGAATACTGAGGTTTTACTTTAGAAAAAACAACGCATACATTAACTTAAGATGATCCAAACAAAGTAAGGAAAGCAATCCCAAATGCTTTCATTTACTTAAAATTATTTGGCAGAGAATTTGACACTTTAATGATGGTCTGGACCTGGCTGGGGTGATGGCACGCGTGCCCACAGAGAGGGCTCTGAGTGCCACCTCTGGCACCCGTGCCATAGGTTCGCCACCACTGATCTAATCCAACGTATATGGAGGTGGTTGGGGTGGACTGCCCGGAGCAGGTCTCAAGAGATGACGTATACATTTCCCAAATGAATGCACGTAGGGTGCTTAAGCAGCCCTGGAGCAAGCTGAGCTAAATAGCCCCTACCCCACAGCGGCTTCCAAGTTAATGGGGAAATCTGCCCCCTTGAGGTGGTACCCAGAATGTCATTATAAGGTACTTATCACGGTACCATAAGCCAGGAGTTGGTATTTGTACCTGACTTTGGAGATGCTACACGAGTCTAAAAATGCTTTCAGAGAATCTCCGCCTCCACTTAGCAGTACTCACCAGTTAGGTAAAGGTAAAGGTTTCCCTTGCTCAAAAGCCGCTGAATCCGACTCTAGGGATGCGGTGCTCATCTCTGTTTCCAAGCCAAAGAGCCAGCGCCATCCAAAGGGACCCCCTTTGCGTAAGCCACAGGGGTTTAATTTACGGGACTTTGAGGACCCAGACACCCCAGAAACTCCCACTCCACCTCAGCTACTGGACACCCTTGCCCAGCACAATGAGGCACCCTTCGATTCTCCAACAGACAGCACGACCAGGCCCCGAGAAACAGCGCTACCAGCACCACAACCGGCAACACCGCCCATCTCTCAGCCGAGTGCTACAGTGTCACCTTCCGCCCCGGTTCCCGCACCTCGCAGCTCAACGAGAAGCCGTAAAGCACCCTCCTATTTGCAGGACTTTGTGTGTGGGTGTCTTTTGGACCAAGGGCGGAGGGGTGGCCAATTCACCACGTGGTCATGCAAAGCAGCTGAGCTCCGCTCAAAGTAACAATGGGACAAGTGGATCCTAGTCGGCGCCAATGCTCCCTCTAAGCTGTGGAGTCTTGTGAGCAAAATTTCTACTTTGTGAGCTACCGGCATTAAAGGTGTGAGCGAGTGATTGGGCTGCTGCATAAATTAGTTTGCTCTGGAGCCCTCCTTCCTGAGCTAAGACAAAAATGTGTGAGCCGGAGGCTAAAAAACTGTGAGCTAGCTCACACTAACTCAGCTTAGAGGGAACTTTGGGCCCGGCGCCTATCGGCAGGCTAGGCTCCCAGCCGAGAGCCTATGGAGCTCTCGGCCACTGTAAATAGCCAATCACTTGTGTGTGGGTGTGCTTTGGGTGTGGGATTGTTGCACATATAAACCGGCCTGTGAGCTGGTTAGTTTGTCTTGTTCTGAGCTGAAATAAAGTATGAGAGCTGAAATCGCTAGTAAGTCTGAGTACTTTTCACTAGGCTAGGCTAGAGAGTGCAAAAGTGGCCCGTGGTCCCCAACAAGCATCCATGGCTGTGTGGGGATTTGAATGTGGGGCTCCCAGATCCTGTTCTGACACTGTAGCGCTGCACTGTGCTGAGGTCAATTATCAAATTGTTAGCTGAGCACTGAACCTTTGTGAGAATATTTGAATGTCATCTAAATCTGGAGAACCTACAAAAGATTTGTTTGGAGAAAACGTTTTCAGTTCCACTTACTTACATGAACACACAGGAAGCTGCCATATACTGGATCAGAACCTTGGTCCATCAAGGTCAGTTTGTCTACTCAGACTGGCAGCGGCTCTCCAGGGTCTCCGGCCGAGGCCTTTCACATCACCTGGTCCTTTCAATGGGATATGCTGGGGATTGAATAGGGGACCTCCTGCGTGCCAAGCAGGTGATCTTCCACTGCGCTGCAGTCCTTCCCAATGCATGTTGCAGCTTTGATTCCCATGGTCCTAACCCCAGAGCTGGTTTGCACAAACTAGCAATGCTACTTTTCTCTCCAAGAGAAGGGCAGCTGTACAGAGAAAAACGAAGCTTTGAGTCCAGTGGCACCTTTAAGACCGACGACGGTTTATTCGAAGTGTAAGCTTTCGTGTGCAACACACACTTCTTCAAGCAAATTGAAATAAAATCTCCTCAAGAGTTACCTACAGGGAAAAAAGAGGGTGGGGGCGGCCGTTAGGAGGGGCCGCTCAGAGCCCAGATACGTATGCAGAGCTGAAGATGCTGAACTGCAGGCTGTGGAAGGTCGGTAGTTCAGCAGTTCGAGACCCGGGTGCCACAAGACGGAGTGAGCTCCCGTCTCTAGTTCCAGCTCCTGCCAACCAAGCAGTTCGAAAGCAAGAAATTGCAAGTAGATAAATAGGTACCACTTCGGTGGGAAGGTAACAGCATTCCGTGCGCCTCGGTGTTTAGTCATGCCGGCCACATGACCACGGAAATGTCTTTGGACAGCGCTGGCTCTTCGGCTTTGAAACGGAGATGAGCACCGCAACCCTAGAGTCAGATTCGACTGGCTTTCGAGCAAGGGAACCTTTACCTTTACCTTTAAGATCAATAGGAGCTGCGGTGGCTCAAGTGGTTAAGACGCTGAACTGCAGGCTGTGGAAGGTTGGTAGTTCATCAGCAAGACCCGGGTGCCGCATGACGGAGTGAGCTCCCGTCTCTAGTTCCAGCTCCTGCCAACCTAGCAGTTCGAAAGCAAGAAATTGCAAGTAGATAAATAGGTACCGCTTTGGTGGGAAGGGAACAGTGTTCCGTGCGCCTTGGTGTTTAGTCATGCCGGCCACATGACCACGGAAACATCTTTGGACAGCGCTGGCTCTTCGGCTTTGAAACGGAGATGAGCATTGCAATCCTAGAGTCGGACTCGACTGGCTTTCGAGCAAGGGAACCTTTACCTTTACCTTTAAGATCGATAGATGGCAGCAAATTAGCATGCAAGTGCAAGAGTTAACAAGGAGATGTGAAAACGAAGCTAGAGTCCATCAGTACCCCCAAGACAAACCAAGCTCAACCCTGTGTACGTGTGAGAACAGAGACTCAGCATATGTACCCTTTTCCATGTACATTGAAACAGATTTCCTCCACCGCGGAAGCGGAATTAACAGACACCGGAGAAAGTCCGGTGTTATCTGGATAAGGCGGGCCACGGGTGGACTTTCCCCATCTGATTGCTCAAGCACATTCTCATGTGGTCGGGATGGTCTGATCAGGCCATCCCGACTCCATGCCGTGTTTCCCCCCCCCCCCGCAGTATGCACATCATCACATACTCCATAGGGGGCCCTCAATGCAGAGGTGTGATTCCTTGTTTATGTGCAAGGGGAACAAATGGCAACCCCCCCACCCATTCTGACCCACAATTACGTCTGATCACACAGTGACGGGCTGCACCTGCAGCTTCAAAGAGCTGTGTGATCTTGCAACCGCAGGTCAAATTCCTCTGGAGAATGTTTTAATGCATCTACAGCTCTTCAGTAAAGTATAACCTTTCTGTTAAGTGTGTACTCCATTGTTCGCTGTGGAGCCTGACACATCTGTGGTTGGAAAGCATCCTCATGGGAATCCTGTTGTGTCGTTAGAGGAGAGTAAGGGGAAGGAGATGAGTCTGCGGTGTCTGGGGCAGGGGCCCTGAGAGCACGCTGTTAGTTTCCGGGAAGCTATTCTCACAGGCCGCTAGTGTCTGTCAGCCCCGACTGGAATATGGCACAGGCTAACCCAACCGTACCAGATCTTGGAAGCTAAACAGGGTCAGCCCTTGTTAGTCCATGGATGGGAGATAGGGCTGCCAAGTGGGGGCGGGTGGCGGGTAAACCCCCGCTTTGGAGGCCCGATTTCCACCGCCACGGAATCGGGCCCCGGGGGGAACCCCGCCCCCCGAAGCGCAGCGTGGGTGCGTCACAGGAAGTGACTCAACCAAGTAGAGCACGTTGGGGGCGTGGCCCCAATTGTTGGAGGGAAAACTCTATGGTTTTCCCTCCAATGATTGGGGCCATGCCCCAACGTGCTCTATGTCGTGCATCACTTCCTGTGACGTTCTGGCCGCACGCACGCGCTTACCTCAGCAGCTCCCGGACCGAAGGAATGCTCCTCCGCCGGTGAGTAAGAACGACTTGGCAACCCTAATGGGAGAGCATCAAGGAAGTCCAGGGTTGCTACGGAGAAGCAGGCAAGGGCAAACGGCCTCCGTTTGTATCCTGCCTTGAAAACCCTGCGGGGTCACCATAGGTCAGCAGTGACTTGAAGGCACTTTTCACTGTCACAGAATAATTCAGGGCTCTTTTTGTAGCAGGAACTCCTTTGCGTCTTAGGCGACACACCCCTAATGTAGCCAATCCTCCAAGAGCTTACAGAGCTCTTCTTACGGGGGCTACTGTAAGCTCTTGGAGGATTGGCTATGTGAGGGGTGTGTCGCCTGATATGCAAAGGAGCTCCTGCTACAGAAAGAGCCCCCAGTCCTCCAGATATTACAGAGCTCCTCTCCGTCTCCAGCATTGCACCCTCCTATGGAAACCGACCTTGCAGCTCATTGCTTGGGAGATTAAACATTAATGCCGTCCATTTTCCTTACCCTTCTCAGAGACTGTGATAGAGAAAATGCTTAACGACTCAGCAATGGAGCAGATCGGCCTCCTGGCCCAGCTCATGGGCAACCTCTCCGCCTGTCTGCTGCTGGACCGTTTCCAGCCCGTGGAGTCGGTGGAGAAACTGGAAGCGAAAGCACATGAGCTCATGCAACAAAATAATTTCTTGGCTAGTAAGTACCGCGAGAGAATATGCTCAGGATTTCTGCAGTACGTTTTCCTCTTGTTTCTAGACAAGAACAAACAGATCTTCTTGGCAGCAAAAGCAGGATTAGCTATGGTGGGTCCTGTGCAAATTTACTGGGGAATTAGAAACAGCTTCTGCTGAATTTTACATTAATAAGATTGTGCTGCTTACTGTAATCCCAGGTAAAAATATTATTTAGATAGAAACTTAACAGAATTTCCCTCTGTTCCTGTTCTTAAAGTTGCAAAGGGATTTGTAGCCTATTGTTTTTGATAAGGTATTTAAACTTTGGCTAAAGTCACTGGGCCGTTAGTGTTGTACTTCAGTGGAACGATGCCCAGATAATGCTCAAAAATCCATTTCCCCAATCAAAGTGCTTGTAATTGTCGAGATGTTTTTGAAGTAGACGATGAAGGTGCATGATATTTCCGTGAAAACTTTGGCGCATCTTTCTACATAGAGATCGACATCTAAGCCTCTCCTGCAGCCGTGCAAACATCTGGCTATTGCTAATGCAGAAGAGAAACAGTTACAGCATAGATGATCATTTTGCATTTGTTGCATTTCGAAACCACTTTAAGTGTTAAGTGTTAC